GAAAAGCTTTCGATACGTATCGACTGGCGGTTGGGCGAAAGGGTTTTGATACGAATCGACGGGCGTTTCGCCAAACCGCGACGTTTTTCGCCTTCGACGAAACGCTGTTCGGCGAAACTAGCGGTTGGCGATTCTCCGATCGATGACTATTTTTTGCTTTTCTCCCAACCGCCGTTTCGTCAGGGTCGCAGACTGTGAACAATGCCTAACGGACAAGGCGATCGCAACTTGCCGCACCGTCGCTCACGGCGCATCGTGGCATATTCTCGACTTGCACCCGTTCGTCTATTGGAGCAGCGAAGCTCAAGTGAGTACAAGAAAAGGCTCCATGACGAGTGATTTCTGGTTTTTTTGCTATTTTATGTTTGAATCCAAACAGCCGGTTGGGACAACTCGTCCCAAGCGGATGCGGAGTCGCTCGTCACGCCCAACGCGGCATAGTCTTGTCACATAGCCCGCCGACCCCTTCGCTTGCCTTAGCCCAGAGACTAACAGCAAACAAAGGTTTTTAGTACGTTCATGTACTATTGAGAAATTTTTACCCTACCCGTTTCAGGTGTTCAGCGATCACACTGGCAAAGACCCTAGCAAAGACGGGAACTATCTACGGTGGAACGACATGCCGTGCGCAACTAATATGAGATCATATGTTTGCAAAAAGGCTTCGATACAATGACTCTGGATCCGGAAAATCACTATAAAAGATCAATAAAACTTTTTCCAATACTCAACAGAAATGATTACAAGTGATGAATAAGTACTCTATCAACAAAAGAAGCAATAGTGCTTACCTCGAAAAGCTTATTGCATAATCAGAGAAGAGGTGCGATTCCTTTGGTAAACAATTTATGCGGGTCCGAATAGAAAAGCGCCACTTTCAGCGTTTGAACAGCATGAGAGCGAAGCTCGGAGCGTGAGCAGCGCTGAGACTTCGCGATGAGGCGCACTAGAGCTGCGTTCATAGTTTGCGACAGCGTCCACCAACATTCCGAGCGTCCGGCAGCGTCAGCGATCAGAAAAGTATAGATATGTATCATTCTAGCGCCTGCCAGCGTCACAGCGCCACAGACCAGCAGAGTCTCGAGGGCTAGGAAGTATAGTTATCTATCTAGCGACCAGTAGTGTCTACTAGCGACCAGTAGCGTTCGGGGGTGGAAAGTAAGGGGCAGTAGGAAAGTGCCAGACAGCTGGTACACTCCTATCGCCCCATACTCTCTACCAGCAGTCTGCCACCCTCCTATCTCCCCATACTCTACCAGCTGTCTGCTACCCTCCTATCGCCTCATTTCTATTTATTGCATGTACGCTAGATGCATGAGGTAGAAATGTCCCATACTGCCCGCTCCCGGACGCTGCGTCACTGGTGGACGCTAGTAGACGCCGCTGGTCCCTATGTCGATATCTATACTTCCGTAGCCTTCTAGACGCTGCTGGTCGCTGGTGGACACTGGCAGACGCTGGTGGACGCTAGATCGATATCCTATACTTTCCTATTCGTTGATGCTGGCGGACCCTCGGAACGCTGGTGGACGCTGCTGGTCGCTAGTGGACGGTGCCGCAAAGTATGAATGCAGCCCAACGCACCTTGATGCGCAGTAACGCGCCACCATTGCCACAGCGCTCCAATCCTTTAGGAGCGAAGGCAGCCGCAGACAGGAATCGATCTGCGCCGTCTGTACATTGAGAGGTAAACTGGAGGGTAGCGTTGCCAAATCACACAGTATGATATCGATCGGCACTGGCCGCTAGGGCGACGTCGATGGATTTCTCGTCTGCGGCTGCATTCGCGTTTATAAGATTTCACAACAAATGTAGGCGCGTGACCGCGATCGCCACGGGCATCGACGCGCGTTTCGCGAAAGCCTTAAAGGCAGTTCCCGCGACCGCACTTCATATATAATACAGTTCAAAAATAGAATTGCTGTGCGCTTGTTGACCTACTGAAGAATACTGAAGTTCAAAAAACCGCCCGCGCAATAAGACCCTCTTTATTGCAATGGATCGTGATCACCGGACGAGCATAAGACGGTCAAGATCGATTGTGAATTGCAAAGGACGACGATACACTGTGATGAGAGGAGAGAGACCAGAAAACGGCGGGCGAGAGAGCACAATTTGCCCACCTCGTCACGATGCGCACGGGTATCGGAGGTCGGCATGGGCCTATTGGGCGCCAATGGGCCTAAAACCTTTGCGCTCTACTTGCTAGTTTTCGACTTTTGCAGCCAGTACAGCGTCTGCGGGTACCTGCCTGTTCGTCGTACACATTTGAGAGCACTTAGCCTTATTTTATCGCCGGGACGTGCCTTTAAAAGCAGCGCTCCGCGTTCATTGTGTTGTTGCCAACGCCCTTCTTTGGATATCGTAGCTCACCCTATGAGGATGCAGGACTTACTAGTTTGGCAGCTCATAAATGCGGGAGAATAGCGGCGCTCGTGAAGAAATGGCCACTCCGCCCCCCACCTGGCGACCACTACGCCCAACTTCATTTCTAATAATTGCTTGATGGTGCGGTTGTTCGTTATTAACTCTCTCCACTTCGGATGGTGAGAGTGAGGTGATAAATCACCTGATACCAACAAGTGAGAACTCGTGCGGCGACAGCTTGCCTCAAGCACGTACAAACAGCTCGGCGTGGGGTCCTATATAGGACATATCTAATAATTTTTTTTTTGCATTTTTTCACGTTAGAACTACTTTCTACCTTGTTGTCACTGTCTGAGCCCTGAGATAACTCATCAAAATGAACGCGGGCGCTGCCTTCAATGCTTCCTTATAGGCTGGTTGATGTTGCTGTTATCTGCGTGGACTACGTCACGACTGCGATACATCTTGGAAAACGTACATTCCAACAATCCGTCCACAACGTAATAGGCCCTTACCTTAGGCTCTTCAAAATCGCCTGAACGCCGCTACCTGCTGAACAAAGACGAGAGAGTTACTGAACCAAGAAAGCTCTCATTCTCCTTCCCTCTAGCGTTAATCCACTTGCGGAGGGTCATTACGGGAGTTCTTGTCAACAGTAGCCATTTCGTTCTCCTATCCGAGCGCGCTTCTGCCCTGGCTTGTTCACCTTCAGTGAGGTCTTCTTGATCACGTAGAGAACTGTTAGAAAGCTTTTGTTTTCATATTTCTCTTAATGGGTGCATTTCGCGATCACTGGACAAGGACATAGACACAACGTACGATCAGCCGCGAGGTGCGTCCTTGACATGTCCGGGGCTATAGAGCTTCGAGCTTTCGAAGCGGATCCTTTCCCGAACATGCGCGATGATAGGGATCCAGGACCGTGGGATAGGCTAATTCCTCCATGCGCCTAGAATGCAACTTGCGGCGCAGACATGCTGATGCCGCCACAATATTCCGACTCCGTTTATAGTGACCGCCATCCGCGCGGCGCGTGTCGCGCGCAGCGCTCCTGGCACTTTGCCAAGTCTTGTAATTGCGCTTTCCGAATACAATTAATAATGCAAACTCTTGATGCGGATAACATTTGAGGTGTTGCTCATGCTACAAAGTCCGGATGGAAGATGATGACGAGCACCAGAACTCAAGAGCAGCTGAGCTGTTTTCCCCCGACACGTGCAATTGGTGCAATTTCTGTGATTGCGTACGTGGCTATCTCACACGACCGCAGTGTAGTTCCACGTAGCTAGTCGCAGACTGTGCCTTTGAGATTGTGCTATCACTACGTGTAACAGCAGCTACATCGTTACTACTACACTGATCAAGGAACAAATGACATCGTTAATGTAGTGATCACTTAGGCGCCATAGTTCAGGTCGACCCGTCTTTTCACTTAACAGGCGAGATTTTGCAATAAAACAGGTCATAATGCGGGAGTTCCCGACAATATGTCCTTATCTTCTGAGAAAATGTCGCGAAGAGCGCCTTTGTCTACATAATGGTGAACAAGAAGGGGAAGATACGACTGTGAAACTTTGGGAAGGGGTCAGTTATGAAACACCTTTCTGGAGTTTAGGACCCTCCAAATGTCTTGGTCTGGGCGGCATTTGTACCAGGACGTCGAGTCCACTAGTTAAGAAATGCTATCTTCTTTGAACGCTTTGTAGCAGTATAGATCTCTCAATAAACTGTAGCCGGCGCCGATCAATACCATATAATGATTAAGCGTGCGTATACTCTTACTCTCCACACTCTGCTAGTGCAGCAGGCGCCCGGCGCCGCATGCGATCGTCTATAGCGTGCGTTCCCGACTATATGTAAGATTGGAGCGCTGTTGCGAGTGTAGCGACCGCACATTAGAGCGCGTCGTGGCGCGTCAGCTGAGGGTCAATGCGTATAGTCCCCCACGTGTTTTGATCCTTCCGTATTTCGTTTGCATGGATGTTGGTATTCTTCATCACGCGTGCGTGACGTGTTCATGATACTCTTCCGTCACCCACCCTGCATTTTTAGGCCACAATGCCTTCCGTCGGGGGGGGGGGGGAGGGGGGCTGGGACCAGAAGTCGTCGAGTGTCAAGGCACGATGGAATCGACAAGCTGCCTGAGCGTTGGCGTCGAGTAGTGGATGGTGATGGTGCATACCTCTAATCTTCAGGCTGGTTCGCTATTGAGATATTTACAAAAAAGTCGGGGGGGGGGGGAATATACGCATCGACCTTAGAACCTTGCCGAAATGCGCGACGTATCGAAAAACCGCTCACGCGATACCAGAGCGGCCAAATCGTAAAGTGTTTAATACCGAGGAACTGCTAGGTGGGCGGAGCCAGCAAATGCCCTTATAAACGTTAGCATTCCCGTCCGACCTTCCTTTTCACCATAAGAGTGGTGAGAAGGGGCTAGCCAAGAACGTCATTTGCCCTGCTTACGCGCCAATTCCGCAAGACCTTCGAATAACAAGAAACGATGCCAGCCAGGCGACGGTGGACTAGACTGTCGTGACTGCATTGTAGTAGTTCTGTCTAATTCGCACGAATATATACACAAGCAGATTACAAATAATTTCATTCGAATAAATGACACAAAATATGTTAAAACAAGCATGCACAACTTTAAAAAAAATGAAATTGGTAACCGAGTGTTAGTGTAGCTTATGAGTGATAAAGCTTTTCAACCGAACTCTCCGTCACACCGAGAAAAAACCCTCATACAAAATCAGCTGCACTTGCAACTGATGTTTCACAATCAGCACCATTGGGTCACCAACGAACTATATAGAGTAAAAATGTAGAGTAAGCGTAAGTAGATGAAAAGATTACGTTACGTATTCGAACTCAAAAGTCACTTTCAAAGTATTTCAGGCTCGACTGAGGATCCAGAAAACCGAGATGTGGTTTAAATAGAAGTAAAAACGCTGTGAGTGAATTTTGGGCGGTTAATTGAGTTGCCATACATATACAGCAGATCCTACGGCATATCAGGGAACTGGATTTAGTGCGGAGCCAGCCCGTTCTCCACCAATTGTTATAGCCGGGCAAGCGACAACAATTGGTGGAAAGCCCGTTGGCGTCGCGCCAAAGTCAGCATGTCTGACACGCCCAGCATCCAAAACGAAGAAATCTGTAAGCTCGATCAAATGACAAGAAAAACTGAACCGCCGAATAAGATGTGCTAATATTCAGAGAGGTGTTCATCAGCCAG